ATAAAAAAAAATGTAGTTTTATTTGCACTTTACCTTTGAGGATAGACAAAGGTGGAGGTGTAAACTGGTGGCGGAGGAGAGGGAGAAGGGAAATGATACTAAAACTTAACTTACATAACATAATGTAACAATAACTTAACACTAATTTGCAAATATATATATATTTGCAGCACTTTTTATACCATAATTATTATAATAAGAAAATTAATAATTATGGTATAAAAAGTGATGCAAATAAGCAGCAACAAAACTTATAAATTCAACAAAATATTTATAATAGACTACTAATAGTCATGTTGAGTTAAAAATGAGAGATGCAATAGGCATTGGAGAAGAGGTTAGATTTCTGTTTGCATAAAGTTATGGATAGTTAGCACAATTAATGAGGCTTATTCAAGACAGAGAGAATACAGACAGAATACAAATAAACTTTAAATATTTAATTAGAAGGATAAATTGATAAATAAGAAAAAAGTGTTGCTGCTAGCTTTGGAAATTTATATAATCATATTGAAGAGAGTTGAAACAGTTGATCAGGAAAATGAAAAAATACTAATAAAAACAAACAGATAAGAAGATGTTTGTCTATTGATCTTGTAAAATGCTTATAATAAAGATATTTAACATTGGTAAATTACTTTATTTCATTGTATTATATTTAATTCTATAAATAAATATAAAATTGCAATGTTTAACAAAAGTAAAATCCAACGATTTTACACAAGATGTGGATTCGATTCTATTTTAAATATTCAGGTTCTATTTTGTTCTGCATTCCGTCGTTTCTTTTTTATATCACCTGAGGAAGAACTATTAATGTTCAAAAATGTTTGCAATATTTATCCGTCATATCACCCACACCAGTAAAAGTTCAAGCTACCTGTAAAAGTTCAAGCTACGTGTTGATTTCATCCTGGTGTTCTTTGAATGTAGGCTTACCAAGTAGCGATGCCGGCTAATAAATACTGTAAAATGCTCGTAACCCTAACTAGGGCTAGAGCTCGATTGCAATTTTTTACGAAATGTAAAAAAAATGGAATATTACCCATGTCCTTTTATCGCATTTGCCTCCCACTGGGTAGCGAACCTCTACTTAAAAGGTGAAATTAACGTGCCTCAACAGGACCATTCAGTCTACTAGAAAGCAAGTGTTTTCTAAAATAGCAGAACTTGTGGAGATTGAGGACTCGTTGTTCCTTCTGGATCCGAAAACGTTAACATGGGAGAATGCCAGACTAGTTACTATCCAAGACTGATTAAGTGCCAACCTTCTTGGTTCTAAACATCAAGATCGACGGGTTGACTGTCCACACCTTAGTCTACTGTAAACCAGTACAGCCTCCCTTTACATCCCAGTTGGGTCATGTACCCTTTCCAGTACAAGACCATTGCAATCAATACTTTAATCAGGAGGGTATTTCTCATTCGTCCACTCCAGGAGCTCTAGCCACCAAATTAGCACATATTAAACACCTAGCAACCAACTGCGGGTATCCTAAGCTGATCCATAGATTGATTAATCATTACCACCGCTCCGTACATGGGTCTGCCATCCGCACCTGTGGCAACAACCAACTAGAAGATAAAACACAAGTCCCCATCATGTATAATTCGTACGTTGCATCGTTATATAAGGAGATCGCCAACAAATGTTGCATTGGGATCACGTACTTAAGTCAGTCTTTCCCATTACAGAAGATGTCCAACCATCTTGGACATCCTCTGCAATGGGAAAGACTGCCATGATCAGAACAGACTCCCGGGTGTTTACTCTATACCTCTTAAGGATCACAGGTGTGACAGGAACCTTATTTACATTGGTTCCACCAAACACTCCTTGGGAGTCAAATACGTGAGCACAATGAGACATTCTACGTGGGAGGAACTCTACAGCTCTTGCGGTTTATGCGGCTGACCCTGACATCGAGGCAGCCTTCAACCAAGCAAGGGTCATCACCACCTTGCACCACCCTGAGCATCTGAGGTGGTTGGAGACTATTTCTATTTATAAATCCACATGCATAAATTATAAAGAAGAACTGAATTTGTCTGTCGCATGGCAGGCCCTCATGGACACCAATCTTTAATCACCGACTACCTGCATCAAATGCGCATGTCCAATCCAACGATTTTACACAAGACGTGGATTTGATTCTATTTTAAATATTCGTGTTCTATTTTGTTCTGCATTCCATCGTTCCTTTTTTATATTGCCAAAGAAAGAACTATTAATGTTTGAAAACGTTTCCGATATTTTATCCGTCATATCACCCACACTGGTAACAGGTTCAAGGTACGTCTTAAAAGTAAAATACAGTAGAGCGTCNGTTGTAGAAGGGAACTGGCAACACATCATGGTGTCGTTTATGTGTAAACCAAAGGAGCCACTGGAATTTCTTATCCAGTTTTGCCTTTGTTGCTAAACCTGATATATTTTAAAACTATACACCAACCAATGCTGAATATTATCAGGCTTGAAACAGCTATAATATTAATAATTTATAAGACAATTTGGCACTAGAGTTAGGTGTTAAATGCCATCTCTTGATAAATTTAATAATTATAATTTTAATTAAATAATTTAGAACTACTGGAAGAAAAGAATTGGCCTGGAGCTCAAATTATTGTAAATTATTAAATTT